TATGGATCTTTTGATCCGTTTGTATAGGTGGAGACTCCAACAATCTATCCTAAAGGACAATACTTGATAATTAGTTTATAGTAAGAACAACGCGTTGAGAAACCATTTTAATATTGTTGATAATACCATATATGTAATTGAAGCGGCAGCTTCTTCTATTCGACCTTGGATTAAATATTCTTGAAAACGTTTAGCAGAGTTTTGTACCTTATTTGTAAGAATAACGATCAGATCACTTATACTGTAGCATTACTTAAAAAGTGGTATAAAACACACCTCGATTAAGTATTCTAAAGTTTCAACCACATATCTAGTATTATAAACCTCCTGCATTATTACTCGATTCTCTTGTAATGCCGTGATGAGCTTGGGTTTCATTCCAACCTGTACTTGTGATATTTTCAAAATATAATATTATCGGTTATTCAAATACATATGTATAAATTCTTATCGTAATTAAAAATACCTCAGAATCATTGATATCCCGTGATACGTTATCGGTTTCTGTGAAAATAATATCGATCTTATCGCGTAAGGAAATAGATTCATCATAAAGCTTAGTGAAGGTATCTTGTCGATTAAGGATTATTCTGTATACTTCCGTCTATAAAAAATAAAGATAAATGAAGATACGACATGAAATTTGAAGTGTAAGCCAATAATCGTAAGTAATTTGAATGATTTATAATAAAGAACCTTAATATCACGAATTTTGTCATCAATCCTTTGAATGCACGCGAAAATAACCTCCTTCTCGGCAGAAGACGTCAACAGCTTATTTTGCTGAGCTTTGTTAGGATTTGTGACACGATCGTTACTTTCGTCTTCATTTTTTAGCACAGCATTTATGAAGGCGATTGAAACCGCGGCAAGGTTTATAGGTAAAGGTGGCATATTTACTTCGCCAAAGCCAACAAAGTAAAACTTGTCATTAAAAAATTGGACCGGATTTGTACACAAACACCTGATTCTGATCTACGTACGTATAATCGTATATCTGATACAGTGCGTAGATCCACGTGTAAAATTTTTTTTTAATGAACCGATTTAAGTCTACGTTTCGTATTCTAAAGGTAAAAGCTCGCGTTGAGAATAAAATTTATATACAAGCAATATTTGTAATGGCTTTTATTTGAAAATAAATCAATTCTTCGAAGGGAGCTACCGGGCTTGTTGTGGGGTCTGTTGCTTTAAATACGATAAATGTCCCGATAGTATATGCTGAAGAGCAAAAACATCAAAAGGTATCGCAAATGGATTATCTTTCATAAATTCATTATTCTATAGTTTAATATAATTAAATGAGTCGATTGTAATTAATTTAGCTCAAAATCTACGACGATTCAAAACCAGAAATAATAATAGTTAAATCACCTACAAGATTGGAAGAAGGAATTAGACATACGAGACTTCAAATTTCGCGAGCTATTCATGATTTAAAAGTATATATTTGATAAATTTACCTTTCGTATATTCTGTCACTTAAGTTGATGTCAAATAACAAATATTATTACTTTATTGGTTTCAACATAGCAACATACCCGAAATGTGACTGATCAATGGATTGGTGTTGAACAAAATACCGAAAGTTTGTGTTGGTTACTATTTTTTTTTTTTTTTTTTTGAACATGAATTTGACGAACATTTTAATTCATTTTTATAAAAGAGGCAATAAAAGAAGTAATCTCACCAAATGAACGATTGATGCCCGAAGTCTTGTACGTTATCGTCGCAGGATTAGCCGGAAGCCTTGCGGCGAGAAACTTTGTTAGAAAGAGTATGTCATGTTTTATTTACCATGTTTTTTTAATTTTACATATAAGAAACTAAATTTTATAACTTCAAATAAACTTTAGGCAATATACTTGTTCGTATCACTAGTCCTGTGTTATTTACTGTTGTATCTTCGTACTACTTCCTTCCACAAACATCTCGTAACATAATGGCTAAAATTTGTGAATATGAAAAACGATCACCTGAACTTATGAAACTTCATAATTCTGTTTATGGCGCAGCGAATAATACTAAACAAAAAATTGATTCTCTCGTTAACTTTAAAAAGTGACCGAACAGAAGATAGAAAAAATCATGGTAATATCATAAAATGCAGAATTTAGTCTAAGCCGCATGAAGTGAAAATTTTTACAGTTGCTTTATAGGTTTCTTAAAATTGATTGTTTTAAATTGATTGATTTTCTTTTAAAATAAACATTTTTTCGTGAAGAAATCTCAGTATATAACGTCAAATGTAAACTTAATGCTCTGTTAAGAAGAACGAATTGTTTCTCCCAATATAGCCAACTCTAAATAATAATAAATCTTAATTAGATAAATGATCTAAATTTAAATTAAGTAAAATATTTAATAGTTAACATAACATCGATATGATTAGTTAATATATAATTTAGTATAATTAATTAAGAAAAATTCTTCTTATATCGGGGGATATTAATATTCACCCCCATTTTATTGTAAAAAATAGTTTTTTACTAAAATTTAGGGTTAGGGTACAGTTTAATTTTCAAATAGGGGTCAGATTAGTGTTTATAGTCGATTTTGATCTTAGTCGACTTAGTCGATTTTTCAAAAAATTGACTTAGTCGACTATAATACTAGTCTGTATACACGTGATTATTAGCCAATAATCTTTCACATGGCTACTGTACCTTATAAACTATACAGTTCATGCTTTAAAAATAATAAAAAGCATTATTATATGTTGTAAATTATTCATTTTATATACCAAAATAATTCTAATATAACATTTTGAGCCATAATCGAATAAGAAATATATATATATTTAAAAGATCTTCAATTAATTAGGCTCTATTAGCATATACAGATTTTTTTTTAAACTATTTTATCTTTATACAGAACTATAGTACTACATTATAGATCATTAAGAGACTGTGCTTGATAGTTAGTATTAAATTATTATATGGGATTTTTGCTAGGAATTTTTTTCTAAAAATAGATTTATTATGTTTTTCTTAATAAAAATCTTGTGTAACAATGGCTCGTAGGGTTATTTTGCTAGCAAAGATCCCATATGATTATAATTATCCAATCAAATTCATCAACTAAGCTATAATTAACTTGGTTAATTTTTAAATACAGTCAAATCTCTCTAAATGTATGTTATTAGGACCAGTTTTAAAGCATGCATTTAGAGAGTGTTGCAATTAAAGAACACTAATAAAATCACTATATAACTATTATTATATGATAAATGTGTCTTTAATTGCCAAGAATAATGGATTTGATTGGTTGATAATCATGTGGATGCATTTATAAAGAGAGTTTTTATAAATAGACCAGACAATTAGCATGCATTTACAGAATAAAAAATGTATATTTATCTATAAGTTCCACTATGAGCCCGGGTTTATATCATGTATTTAGAGAGGTGCTGCATTTAAGGAGAATATATTTAGAGAGGTTTAACTGTATCAACTTAGTTAAATTAATAAATAACAATTAATTACAAATACTACAATCTGAAAATATATCAAATTTAAAATTGAGTTCTAGATTTGAAAATTTGAATTCTAGAATAATCTACAAAATTTGATTGACTTTGTTATAGTTTTTTTATACCCTCTTCTTTTGAGTATTTCACAAGATTTTATACTATTACTTGCTATTAAACAATATACAAATAGTTAGTATAAAACATCTACTTTTAATCATTCCAATTAATTCCTTATTATAAACTGATTCAAAAAAGATAAGTGAGACCTTAAGATCAAGAATTTCTTAATATATTTGTTATACTATAATAAAGGATCTTATTACTGCAATATTATCAGAGTTTTTTTTAAATAAAAGCAAACAAAACATTATAAATAAAACAATTTTTAGATAAAGTAAAGAAGTTGCTTATACCCAGTTCTATATTTTTTTTAAATGTTAGTTTTATAAGTAAGAGTATTACTTTTAGATATATAGTGATTATGAAAACTTAATAGGTAGTTTTTTTATTTTACTATGATATTTAATATTGTTTTATTTATAAATTTTAAATTATAGGTTTTATAATTTAGCATATATGCATTGTAACACACCCAACTGATCGACCAATCAGATCGTAAGATCAGGTGTACTGTGAAATCGAAAAAATAGCAATATTTTGAAAAGATCACCTGTAACTCATAATTTTGCTTATGAAATCATCTTTTGCGCTTTAACAAAAAAATTTCTTGTAAAATTTTAGATTTAACTAACAATTACCTACAATCTAATCTAACCTTACATTAGTGCTAACTCTTATCTTAAATTAATGCATTGCTGGTTTGTTTTGATTTCACATTACACCAGATCTTATGGGGTGTGTTACAATACACATGCGCTAAATTATAAAATTCTTAAATTATATATTGAAAAAAAAATTTATTTAGTATCTACTAGAAGTAAAATTCACTGCTATATATTTATTTACCTCTAATTTAAAGCTAAAATTAAATATTAAGTTTAAAGTTAAAACTTAAATTATATAGTAGTTTGAGGTTAAAGCTTTTTGCATTTTTATTTAGTTTAATTATTAGAACTATTTATTAGAAAATACATATTTGGTGAATTCATCTCTAATAAATGCTAAAATTGTTTATTGAAAAAATTTAAGTTACTGTAATTTAGATCTATAATCCTAATATATTAGTAAATTAATTAGTTTAACAAGACTAAAATCAAATCTACAACTATCAAAAGGTCTTTATCTAGAATAATTTAGTCAAAACATAGATGCAACTGCATATAGTACTAGCCAATTTAGTTTCGCTATAATATAAATATAAATTATATAAATATTATTTGAATTTGTTTATTATCTCTTAGATTGTAATAGAACACAGACAAATTTGCCTGTTTTTGTACTTTTTTGACTCTGATTTACTTACTGTATATAAAAAACCAAAATAATTAAATAAAACTTTGTACAATTATATTTGAAAATAAGAATTACTTTTTTGCAGTATTTATTTTTAGATTATAAGAAAAAAATTTTAAGTTACTTATGAATCTAAAATATATAATTTTAAAAATAATTTATAAAAAAGAGTGTAATGACTTAGAGTAGTGGTTAAGTTGTCACTTTCCAAGCGGCAGGTCTAGAGTTCGAATCCTACTGGAGACATTTTTAGAAAAATAGGCCTGTGTTTCGGTAACAATTATTCGTTGATCGGTTGGGTATATTATTTGTAATCTTGGTATTACTATCTCAAAATAGAAGCTCTTGGGTGATCTAAATCTAAGGAACCAGAATAATTGAAACCCGTTTAGCAAGACCTGAGTAAAGAGGTAGTGAGGATCTTTGACAATACTGCAGAAAAGTTGGAAACCGGAAACCGAAGAACCGGACAAAAACCTTGAGGCAAGAAGGGTCCACCAACCTGGCCACCAAAGTCGTATCAGAGAAAAAGGTCCTATGCTATGGAATTAGAAACCAAGATGAGTAAAACCAGAAGGTACTTAAAGCCTAAATACAAAACCTGTCTGAGCTAACTGGTTTGGTAGTTGGAGAGGGATCAGTATAAGAACCGACTTGATATGGGTATCAGAATTAGAACAAACTTTGCAAAGGTACTGATACTGGAATTGTGCAGTTTAATAGTTTGCCCTAACTGCTAGTAGTGGTTTCGACTGCTGCAGAAGATATTTGTAGCCTAATCTGGAAGTGCATGGGACATAAAAAAATTAGGTGATATATACTATACCCTTCCTAAGACAACCTGGTAGTATGAGAACTCTACTGAGTTATCTATAGAATTAGGATACAAGTAGTATAGCAGATGTCGATCTGGGTGGTCTTCAGTTTAGATCATAGTATAGTTAAAAGTAGATGTTTTATACTAACTATTTGTATATTGTTTAATAGCAA